CAATCTTCTCTTTCTAGTTCCTGGCTCCAGATGTGAGCACTAACTCTGACAGCACACCTGCCAAGATGTGCTGCTGTGGACAGATGCCCAACCAGACAGGTCATACCTCTTAAATAGGAGCTTTCAAACTATGGGCTAAGTAAACTGTACCTCTTCATAAGTTAACTGCCTCAGGCACTTGGCTCTAGAACTACAAGTATCAGTAATACAAGGAAGGAATTTGAATACTTTGTAACAAGTGAAGGCATAGAAAGACAAACACTATAGGATGCAGTTATATGAGTGTATCAGTCAGCGTTCTCTATTAACACAGAAACAATAGGGTTTATAGACAGATTAATTAAGGGATATGGTTTCCATGTTTATGAAAGCTGAGAAGTCTCATGAGAGGCCATCAGCAAGGTACAGATCTTAGGATGCTAGGAATTGGCTCTATCCAAGTCCAAAGGCCTGAGCACCTGAATTTCTGGTGTCCAAAGGCAGGGGAAGATTATATCCTAGTTTCAGATGAGACCTCTAAATTCTCCTGTCTTCTTGCTCTATCCAGTCCCTCAACTGACTTGGTGGACCTTCCTTCTCAGATCACTGACTCAAATGCCAGTCTATTTGAATGCAAACTCAAAGACACACTCAAGATAAAACTTTATTAGTCCTTTAGCTATCACTCAGTAGAGTCAACTTGACATCTAAATTTAACCACCACAATGATATAAATAAAACAATCAAACTCTTAGAAACAAAATAGAATGATGTTTGTCAATAATAAAGGAGTAGAGCATTAAGGAACAGTAAATCAATAGGTGCAGAGCTTCTATATTGCAAAGCAAAAAATTCTATATTCCGTTGCACTAAAATGCAAATATACTTAACACTACTGAAATGTACAGCTATGGTGTTTATGATAGTAAATATTATACATTTTGGCATAATTTAAAAGAAATAAAATCATTAATGCATTGATAAACCAATCAGGGTTTGAATTTGAATGGAAATGTAGGAGACTACCCAATAATAATGAAAGAATAAAAAAGGTTTTTGAGAGCTAGGAATGGTGGCATAACCCATAATCCAAGCACTTAAGAGGCTGAGGCAGAAGGATCTGAAGTACATAGCCAGCCTGGGGTACACAAAGAGACCCTGTCTCAAAAATCAAGCAAACAAAGAGTTTTAAATAAATAAAGCAACAATCCATGCTCTGAAATGAAAAGAATTAAAATAATATCTGCAAAACCATGTGATTCAGAGGAGTCAATATGGAAAAGAATTCACTACAGTGTGAAAAAATATATATTAGGGTTAGATGTTTTTACTATTTTTCTGAGTTTACTAGAATAAAAAGAAAACAACAGATGGTCAAAAACAAATTTAAATATAAATAAGAAAACCATTGGACCATGATTTAATAAATTAAATGCATTTCACATAGTGGACTTCAAACTAAATTGCCACTGCATTTCAGTATCCTGTACTCCTCCCTTCCTCTCCTCTCCAGCACTTTGGTTTCATTACAGGTCTATCTCATATACTGGACTAAGTCCTGTGAGGAATGTACCGTGTCTGTGAGTCCTCGTACACTCAGCACTAGCACTAGCTGTGTATTAAGTGCACCTGCCCTCCACACACGGCCGCAGACTGGTTTGTCACAGACTGGTTTGTCTTTTTAGCGTGCGGGTCTTGCCTCCCTTCTAGATGGGACTGTGAATCCTGCTGACGGCTGGAGTCCCTGCTGCTGCATTCTCTGGAGCACCTGCACAGAGTTCCTTACGTGAAAAGCACTTTGTTATGAAAGCATTCCACACCTGAAATTCAGTCTTTCTGTCCTTGGGATGACAATCTTTGGAACAATCTTTGAAACCTCCAAACATATATACTAAAATGTGAATTAATCTGATCTGCAAGTGTGAATTAGAACAATACAAGAATACCACAGACTGCAAATTAAGTTAACATGAAAATGAGAAAATGTAGCTTCCTCATGCCCAGAAAAAGTGCCCAGAAAAATTTTCAGTTTCTTGGCACAAACAAAATATACACTCCTCCCAACTCATGGGTTTGTTGACATCGGTCTATTTCCCAGAAACTACGAGCTTGCCATACTTTCACTTTCCATCTGGCCTGTGTCCAACATGAAAATACTTTCCAGTTGTTCCGAATTACCCCAGAGCTCTTCCAATCATGAATAAAAGTGGAGAAGACCTGGGATGTTTCATTTATTACAGGACTACTCAGACTTCAAATTTAGGAAAAATAAAGAAGAAAACATACATTAACAAAAAAACTTCAGTACATGTGGTAAAACATAGAGCCATTAAGGAACCTAATCTGAACTTCTTTTAACACACTGATTCTTTGAAGAAACTCCAAATCAAGCAGCTGCCAGGAAAGTGTGACAGGACAATCTGCTGTGAAAACCACACTGAACATCTGGAAATGCAGATAAGAACTATATCATAAACACAAGGGTAAGGGCCAGTTGCTGGTCTTCCCCATGAACCTCTGTCAACATGGAAACTGCATCTGAGAAAGGAACCAGTGTGATTTCAGTGAGGCCAGGTATTCTCAACCCCCCATGCCTAGGCTACACTCTGTGCTCTGTGAGCGGGCTGATTCCAGGAATGGGTACAGTTACCAGAAATTTGGTATCTACCAGTTTAGAGTTTGCAGATCAAGAAAACAAAGGAAGAGGGAGCCCCACCTCGTTGGCCATACCCACCATTAGTGAAACTTTAGTCAAAGTGCCTTTGTGATGGAGAGAGAGTAGATCCTGACTCTACTTGCTAAGCTTGCTATGCATTCTAGGGTTGTACATTTGTTGCCAAGTACTTTTCTATATCCTGGGAATATAGCTCTGATTTCATGAAGCTCCTGGTGTCATGAATTCGAATTGCAAGTAGTCAATATGGAAATTTAAAAATAAAAATGGGGTGGCGATTGAAAAGAAACCAATCATGTCAGACATCTCTGAGAACATGCCCATTTTCAGAGACCTAAAGTACTCAGAAAGAACCAACCTTGCCAAAATGGAGGTAAGAGTCAGATGCAAAAAGCTGCTGGCAGGGCCTGGGAATATAGGTCAGTGGCACCACGCCTGTCTGGCAAGTGCAAGGTCCTGAGTTCGCACCAAAAAAATAAAGGTTAATATCTCTTATAGCTTACACATGTGTAAATATCGAACAGTTTCTCTGGTGTGAAAATGTAAATGAGGAGCAAAATGTATAATAGATAACGTGAAATAGGAAGAAAAGGTCCAAAGGGGAAGGAGAAGGGGAAGTGGGAGGGGTAGGTGAAAGGAAAGAAGGGAAAGGAAAAAATACGAAAAAAGGAAAAAATGGAAACAAAGCCTTTGTAAATAGAGAGAGGTAGAGGGGTTGAAGGAAGGGCAGAGGAATGGGGAAAAAAATAAGAACCAAGATATATTACATAAAGATACAAGTTCCCAATGATGATTATATTGTATACCTAAAACATACCAAAAAACTTAATGAATAAAAAAAAGCTGCTGGCATAAAGACTCTGAGACAAGGAGAATATAGGTATGACCAGCAACTGAAAGACCCAGGGGAATCTTATTTCTAGATCAAATTAAAAAGATACTTGACTAGAAAAATTTAAAAGATCACAGTGTGAGAGGAAAAGAAAAGAGAGAGTCTCTCTTCATTTTTCAAATTTCAGACACTGGCTTCTGGGTGTGGACCAACACCAGAGCATGGTGGGATCAGCCGAGGACCATGCAAGTCTTTCCCTTCTCCCTTCTCACTTCTTTCCTTATACAAGCAATGAGGAAGGTATGAAAGAGCATAGAATTTAAAGAATTTAAAATTTTCATCCCACTGTTGTGACTTGCTTAGGGAACTGGAGCAGAAATATACTTAGCCTTTGTCAGTTTTGTGTTATTATAAATAAAAATAATAAAGTAGTTGAGATTGGGTGCTTTTTATGCAGAAAAGAGATTTACTTAGCTCACCTTTTTGGAAGCTGAAGGTCCAAGAGTGCCTGTTCCCATCTATTTGGCCTCTAGTGAGGGCATTTTGGGTACATTACACAGCGTGGATGGTGTCATGTCAGAAAGGCCTACACTGAGAAAGAGACAGAAAGAAGGACCAGTCAAGATCACTTTAAACACACACACACACTGGGATTTTCTACAAGAACCACAGCACACTGCCAAAACAAAAGTAATCTCTCTTAAAATCTGAATTACCTCCCACGAGGCTGTACTTCTTAAAGGTTTCAGCACATTTCAATATCAACACACTGAGTTCAGTGTTTACAGTAAATAATCAAACCATATTTAAAACATAGTCCCCTCCCCCAGACTTCTTGTTTCCATTGTAAGTTGTCCACAGTGCTCTTTAATTTGCATGGTTGTAATTAGGACAGATTTTACTTATAACATAGGAAGCTGCTACAAAATAATACACAAATAAAGCAATTATTTTTTACAATTATTCACTCTGCAAACACAGAGGAGCAGCATAGTAAGGTGGTTCTTGAAGGAGGTTTGGAATCAAGGCTGCTTGGAAAAACTAAACTTGTAGTCCTATGATTTGAGACAAGTGACAAAGTTTCTACGAAATTATGGGAGATGTTCATTATGACAGGAATGTAGTCAGCACTGGCTCTGGACCACCTGTACAATGCAGGGTATGCCCTCCTGACTATGTGCTGGTGTGAGTACCAGGTGCCAGGTGCTCATGAGTGTGTGAGTTGTGCCCTTCCCCTCACTTTCTGCATCTCCCAAAGAATCACAGCTGCACTGTAAGTGGGCCTGTTATTTTATGAAATCAGAATTTAAAACTAGATGATGTCTCCTCATTCTAGGTTGCTCAAACTGCTCCCCATTCTTAAATATCATTCTGTCATATTCTATATCTAAGGGTACTTTTTAAAGGATCAAATGGTTTCCAAGACCTCTTCTAACACAATAGAATATTTGAAGGTTCTGGCTGAGCAACCCTCTCAAACCTTGCCTCTGGCACAGCACCAGAAACTCCTTTTATGGTCGTTGATTCACAACCCTGGACTAAGTACTTTCAGTTTCACATAATTGTAAATCCGTTAAAAGGTTGTTGTACAATTCTCTCTTTGGTAAATCAGGGAAATCCAGAAAGCCTTACAACATTGGAGGGGTAAATAAGACTCTAACAAGCCAGCGAAAGACAGAAGAGAGAAGCCAGACCTCCACCAAGAAAGATCAGGTAAGACGTTGACTTCCCTTCAGCAGCTTCCCCAGCTCTGGAGGAACTCTGCTCAGGGATAAGCAGACTCTAAACCCAGGGTCAAGGGGTTTGTAAGGACAGTTACTTTTAAAAACCGCCACAACCCTGAAAGGCTGGAGCTGAGCTTGAGATGGGACATGTGATCAGATGAAATCCAGACTCTAGCAAGGCAGCAGGTCCCTTAGTTACACTATTGTGCTTGTGTTGACTTTCTCTTGCTTGACATTGTGTTGATGGGAACACAAATAAATTACCAAGATCACTGATGAGCTTGCTGTTTTCAGGAGAGGAAAGCAGAGGAATGTGATGGTGGTGAACAGGCACCAGATTGGTAGGGACAAAGAGAAAAAATATGTAGGAAGCCAGAGAGAAAGAGAAAAGATCACAAAAGCAACCTACTGTTTTTAGTCATGCGTCTGTACTTGTTTTCAAATCAGATTTCTTCCCTAAGAAGTAGTGCAGGCTTAGTGATTTTTTTTTTTTTTAGTACCCACCTACTCCTTACCCCTCACCAGCAGAATCTAGGCCCTGTGTTTTACTAAGGAGCCTACAAAGGAATTTCCTGCCGTGCAATACTAAGAGCAGCACATTGTGTCCCAGGCATCCCTGTGACCTCAAACATTTTCCTCCACTCTGGAAATGTCCCCTGAATTCCTGGCCGGGCTCTAGCCTCAATCATCACCTCTTTTCTGAATTTTCTCTCTCTCACTGCCAGGTCCTTATCCTCTGCCTCCTCTGCTCCTTTTCTTCCCTTTTCTTGCCAATCTCTCATTCTTCACCTTTACCAAATGGAAAACAGAAAAAAGAAGACCTAGAAATGTGCTGCTGAAAATTCAGATATTAGTTTGAACTACTTGTTATCTAGCAACTGCTTCCTAACTTCCTAATCCTTATTTCATAGTCATTTTAGCATCTTCTAGTACTTGCGATTGTGCACTCACACCTCGCTGAGTTCACGCTCACTGTGAAGCTCATGTTGCTCTAGTGTCAGGCACTGTTCTCACACACACCCTCCAAGTCCTTGCAAGGGTCCCTTCTTATGAGTTCTCATGGTCAGGTATTTTCACAGAATTTGTGGAAATAAATTTTGCTGGTTTCACTTTTTAGATGGCAATATGAGGGAGGAGTTCTGTGTCTCTTCATTCCACTGAAATGATCATAACTACTTGGGGTAGGAAGAAAGAATTCATTTTAAAATCCCTAGAAATTGTCCAAAGGTCATAGATCAAACAATGAACCATTTATTCATAAAGGTCCTTATTCACTATTACAATTAATTAACAGATCAATGTTTAACTTTTTACATAGACCCAGGGTGAAAAATACATCTTTTCAGTTCTATGCTGTTTTCCATTTGATGTCTTGTGAAAAGCTTTCTTTTTCTGAATCCAAAAGCAAAGTTCTCTATGATAAATTGAATGAAACACACGGATCGTAAGAGCAGCTGAATGTTGTGATGTTAGTTATGCTGTTTGAAATAGACTACATTCATAATATTTTTATAACTTTTCAACTTATACAAGTTTTCTCTCTGTTTTGTTGATGTACACAAAACTTTTGTTCATACTGGAAAATGCTATGACTCCATCTTCTGAATGCAAGGCCTAGAAATTCTAAATCTGATTCAATCTACCTCTGCTCTTATAGACCAGAAAACACACTGAACATGGCACCAGAGATCCACATGTCAGAGCCACTGTGCCTCATTGAGAACACTGAAGAGAAGCTGGTGGTTAAACAAGAAGCTCTGGGGATCCTGTCTGCCATCACCCAGCCCGTCGTGGTGGTGGCTATCGTGGGCCTCTACCGCACAGGCAAATCCTACCTGATGAACAAGCTGGCTGGGAAAAGAAAAGGTGAGTGCTGCCACCAAAGCTTTGGTGATCCCTTTCTATCCACCTACAATGTCACCATCCAGCATGGGGGTGTGAGGAGAGAAAAAGACATGGATGAATACTGAAAGCCAATGTTTGGGCCACAGCTGGTCTTTTATCTCCCTGGAAATACAAGGTAGCACTTTGTCTCTGATACTTTTGTTTTTTGTTTGGTTTTGTTATGTTTTGCTTTTGGCCTTAAATTGTCCTCCATGTTGAGTAAGATATCAATGAAATAATTTCCAAATACAACTAAAATTTTAAAACCATATTATATTTTAAAACCTCCAAACTATAGTATTTAATATTACTTTCCCACTCTTCGGTTGTAATTCAGATCAATACTTGTATTTTCTGCTATCTTCTCATCTTGGTTTCTTTAAGTCCTACCTTCATTACGGGGAAACTGTCCTTTGCAGGCTTTTCTGTTGGCTCCACGGTGCAGTCCCACACCAAGGGGATCTGGATGTGGTGTGTGCCTCATCCTGAGAAGCCAGGCCACACCCTAGTTCTGCTTGACACCGAGGGCCTGGGAGATGTAGAGAAGGTAAAGAAGAAAGATTATTTTGTCACCAACCTTTTCATCTTTGGATGTTTATACAGGGAAGGTTTTTTTGCTGTTGTTGTTGTATCTTGTTTTTTTCTAAACACATACTTCTTGACTAGGGTATATCCCCTTTTTTCTTTCTATTTTTAATTATAAAAGATTGAAGGGAAATATATTTACAGTGGATCCTCAAGTTATGACTGGCTGGTCATATGAACAACTTAGGCTATGACCAGAATTTTAGTTTTAACATCACCAAAGTCTTGAGTTATAAGTCAAATACTGGCCACTTGTGCTTCCAGATGGTCACAGATACAGATTTAACCCTTAAAGAGTTCTGAACACTACAACATCTTTTCCTGTATGGGGTTAATTGAGAAATTCTGGGCCAGTGTCTCTTGAAGGACACTGATATCTGCCTGCATACAGGAGAGAGATTTTGAAGGCTGTATAGAGAAGCCCGTGCCTTCATTGATCAACTTGAGTTACAATGAGCCCTCATTAACGAATTGAATTTGTAAGTCAAGCATCTTCTGCATACAGCAAAATCAGTATTAGAAGAATTATATTGGGTGTTTAAGAGAAAGATTCAGATTTGTGCAAGAATTGGCTCATATAAGTCAATTGTATATATCTCTTCCCAAATGTGAATTTAGTGAGTTTACTTTGGTAGCCTGAAATTGGTTATGGTCAAATTATTCAGGAAATGGTTAAGTGGTACAAATCAAAGCATTTTTCCCAGTGAGCCTTGTGAATAATAATTACTCAATAAAATAGATATATCTGTGTATTATACATATAGGCCAAGTTTTTAGACCCTAAAAAAACCTTGATTTTAAATAGTTAAACAAGAAGCTCTGAAGAACTTGTCTGTCATCACCCAGCCCATAATGGTGCTGGCTATCATGGACTTCCACAATAATTAATTTGAATATTCATTTTGAAAATATCTAACAGCAGTTAAAAGAAGAATGAGTTAACAATGTATAAGTAGGTATAAACTCATCAATGAGAAGACCACACTAAGTTCATGTGTCTGACAATGACTTTTGTTTGTCTTGTTTAACATTTGTATGTAAGAATCTTATTTTCAGGGCTTGATTATCTGGTAATGTCATGAGACATGATTAAATCTGTTCCGACTTCTAGGTTGATGATAAGAATGATGCCCAGATCTTTGCACTGGCTATCCTGCTGAGCAGCACCTTTGTATACAACACCATGAACAAAATTGACCAGGGTGCTATTGACCTACTCTAGTATCCTTCTGTGGTGCAGGATGGAGGCAAAACCAGAAAGATCTACATTCACCAGCTATGTGCATACAAGATCTTGCAAATCACAAAAATAAAAATTTGATAAACTTTGAAAGTGCACCATAGACAGCCCCCATATTAACAGGTGATGAAATGTCAATTTGGTTGAATGGTGGAGAGAAAATAGATATTTGGGGAGACAAGGAATAAAATATGGGCCTAGATGTCCTGTTTTTGTGAACTTTCCTTAATTGCATGTCAGCAATGTGGCAGAACTCACAGATCTGCTCAGGACAAGAAACTTACCTGATATTAATGAGACTGAAGATAACATTGACTTACTGAGCTTCTTTCCAGACTTAGTGTGGACTCTGAGAGATTTTTACCTGGGTCTGGAAACAGAAGGAAAACTCATCACACCGGATGAGTACCTGGAGAACTCATTGAAACTCAAAGAAGGTAAGGGGGCTTGGTTCTACGAAAAGGAAAAAAATAAAGTAGTCCAATAAAGTATCTTCTTTGTAGGTTGCTAAATGTATATTTTTCCATATCAATATTATTAATTTAGAATAATTAAGAGATTCAATATTAAAATGCATCATTCTGTTCTTGGAACAAATTTCTTTCCTTTTTTACTTTCCCTGATTAGTACCTTTAATCTTTTGCTTAGGGTCTATAAAGACCTGTTAAACTAAGTAACATTAGTGAAAAGGATATTTCTTTGAGGTAAATAGTAAATGGAAATTCTATACTAAATAAATCCTAGGGCCTGGGATTTAGCTCAGTGGCACTGCACCTGCCTCACAAATGCGAGGTCCTGAGTTCCATCCCTGGTCCCAGATTTAAAAAAGATAAGAAAAATAATCCTATTTTCCTTCTACAGGAAGCAATGAGAGAATTCAAAATTTCAATTTGCCCCGTCTCTGTATAAAGAAGTTGTTTCCAAGAAAGAAATGCTTTATCTTTGACTCACCTGCTAACAAGAAGAAGCTTTCCCAGCTTGAGAAGCTGAATGATGATGAGCTGTATCCTGAGTTTGTGCAACAAGTGGCAGAATTCTGTTCTTACATCTTCAGCCACTCCACAGCCAAGACTCTTCCAGGAGGCATCATGGTCAATGGACCTCGTGAGTATCTATTTAGGTAATTTCCTTCAACTCAATGGAAAGTATAAGAAAGACATGAGTCTTCTTGTAGGACCAATGGTGACAAATGCATAAGTAATTACCACCCAGAAAATTATATGCCACCTTTTTTTATAAAGTTATAGTGGATGTTAAATGTATTTCTAGTATTTTTTAGTAATGCCTCCAAAACTACACAAGATAGGGGAAGAAAGGAAGGTAGGATAAAGTTAAAAGAGTTTTACTTATTGACTTTCCATTGTTGAACTACACTAATCCACATTGATTGGCAGCACTTCTTCATGAAATATGTTGGACTCTTATGATATGTCAAAGTCTTTGAAAGGCACAAGATAACCAAGATATATATCTTTCTGGTAGAAAGAGAACTTCATTGATACAAATGCTGAACCAAGATGGAAATTGTCTAGATCTCTAAAAGATATGAGTGCTGGCTTCATGGTATAGTTTATCCTAAGAAATCTCTGTCTCAGAATGCTGTAAATAATTTCTGTTATAAACGGAAGTTGACTGCAAGTTTACAAGAAGTAAAACAAGGAAGTTCCAAGCAAGAATAAGAAAATTGACATGGTCTAAAATTGCTTAATTTGCCTTTTTTTTTTTTAAAGAGGGTATTTTTCATACCAGTTTTACCATAATAAAATAAAAGAGAAATTCCAAAGAAAGTGGAACTGAGGCAAAGCAAAAGGGAAGACTAGAGAGCAAGGCCTATAGTATATTTGTTTATAGAGAATTACGGAGTGCAGACAATCACATACATCATGAGATTTACCATGTTATCTTCTCTGAACATGGTTTCTTTTCCCAAAGAAGGAAAGACTTTGTTTCCTAATTACATAATTTTCCAAAGGAATTTATCTGACCCGCTTGAATACTGCCCAGAATGGCGAAAACTTTCATGTAATGAATCACTAAGTTGACATTCTCAGAATTACTCAATATGGAGCGTGGACTCTTTCTCCACAAATAATATAAGCATTTTTTTCCTTTGTGAAGTTCTGGAGAAGCTGGCACAGACATATGTCAATGCCATCAACAGTGGGGATCTGCCCTGCGTGGAGAACTCAGTCCTGGCCTTGGTCCAGAGAGAAAACTTGGGTGCAGTGCAGAAGGCCTTGGCCCACTATGACCAGCAGATGGGCCAGAAGGTGCAGCTGCCCACAGAAACCCTCCAGGAGCTGCTGGACCTGCACAGGGCCTGTGAGAGGGAGGCCATGGAAATATTCACAAAGAACTCTTTCAAGGATGAGGACCAAAGCTTCCAGAAAGAATTACAGGTAATTACTTATTACTATTATTATTATTGTTCTAGTACATGGGCTTTAGGGTTAATAGAAGGCAAAGAATGTCTATGAATGGTAAAACAGAGCTTGAGAAAACAAGTACCAAACTTGAAAATAATAACAGACACTCATGTGATCCACTCCATGATATTACCATTACTTTTAAATCAAAAAGCATGTAAATACTCTAGGTAATTTAGATTTTTAAGCTTTCACATAGGCACATACTTCACCTTCAACATGTCATACCCACGGGTGAAAGTTGAATTGATTTTATTCCTTTCAAAATTGTATTTACAAAGCATTAGCTTTAGTGTTTTACTAATGAAACAAAATTGGCATATGTATCTACTAAAATATGGTGTATACAGGATTAATAGAATTACCAAATATCATTCCAGTTAATTATCCAATTCTCCCTTCTCATTGAAGGCAGAAAAACACAAAAATAAAAAATGTTGTGAAACACCAGCCAGCATTTAAAATCCAGGCATAGGGCTGGGGATTTAGCTCAGTGGTTCCGCCGCCTGCCTCACAAGCACAAGGACCCGAGTTCAATCCCCGGTACCAAAAAAAAAAAATTAAGTAAATAAATAAAATCCAGGCATGGGGTTAACGGGTAAGTACTCATAAGGTCACATCTATTTTTATTTATTTTTACTCTTTTGTTGCTGGGAATCAAACTTGGGTCCTTGTGCTTGAGCAGCAGGTGGCAAAACCACTAAGCTAAATCCCCAGCCCTCATAAGGTCACATCTAAAGCACAGATAACAAGAAAAATTGGTTTTAGCAAATTTCTAACCCAAAACTAAATGCTATTTATTTATTTACTTATTTAATTTTGGTACTGGGGATCAAACTTGGGACCTTGCACTTGTGACAAAGGTGGTGGCACCACTGAGCTAAATCTCTGGCCCTAAATGTTTTCCATAGAGTCTCATTCTTAAAACTTTTCAAATTTTGGTGGGAAAGATATAGTTTTACTTATATTCCACTAAATTTCTACAAAAGATTATGTATTCTTTTTTAAAACAATACCTGGAAATACTGAATTTTTGCTAACATCTCTGTGGGATTATATTCCTTTGAAGACCCTACTAGATGCGAAGAAGAATGACATTTATGAGCAAAACAAGGAAGCCTCTTCAGAACGTTGCTTGACTTTACTTCAGGATATTTTTGGTCCTCTGGAAGAAAAAGTGAAACGGGGGATTTATTTTAAACCAGGAGGACATAATCTCTTCCTACAAAAAATGGAAAAGTTGAAGGCAAATTACTATCAGCAGCCAAGGAAAGGAGCACAGGTATCAGTAGTTTTATCTATTAACTATGGAAACTTTAGGGAACATTCTGAAAAAACAGTAAAGACAAGAGCAAAAACACGTGTATACAGGCACAAAGATGAAGCTTATACCTCTGCCGAGGCCTTTTGTTTAATACATGTTTATAGTACATTCCTGTGGGGAGCTGGTACATGTACATGATACAACTTAATTCTTTCATCTTGTTTTTTTTTTTTTCCTTATCGGGGATCAAACTCAGGTCCTTGCACTTGCGCAGCAGGCGGCGAAACCACTGAGCTAAATCCCCGGCCCTCTTTCATCTTCTTGCCCTTTACTTTCTCTCCCCTCTATCCATCTTCTCTCTTTTTTTTTTTTTTTGTTACCGGGGATCAAACTCAGGTCCTTGCGCTTGCGAGGCAGGCGGTGGAAGCACTGAGCCAAATCCATATCCATCTCTTGATCTCTTTTCTTTTTTCTGATGCATGTTTTCAGTACATTATGCTGACATTGCTTGTGTGGAGTTGGTCCATGTACATAACACATATTAATTTCTTTCTTCTTTCCCTTTCCCTCCTTTCCCTCCCTCCTCTCTCCTTCTCTTGATCCTTTTCTCCTTTGAGAAAGATCTATCTCCCCACTTCCTATTGTCTATTTTTTTGGTCATTACATGAAGCAACATTCATGGGAAACCATATGTATTACCATTCTAGCATAGCTGGGGGATCAAAATGAACCATCCCCATTATTAACAGACTTCTATTCCAACCCTCACTACTCATCACAATGGAACTTTTTCCTTTTTTAACTACACAGAACAGCTCAAAAATTGAAACTAATTTAAGGAAAAACAAAACTTGATTATCTCATAGAAACTAAAATCAAAAGGTTTTAATTTAGTTTCAATAGTAGCCATGGGCGCTCAGATGTCAAGGCCCAAGTCATACTCACACCTGCAACAGGACAGACTTGTGGACAGTTCTACCGTCTGCTGGCTGAGCATCCAGTAGGAGGAAAAGATGCTGAGAGCAAACAAATAAAGAGGTTTATAACGCTGCAAATTACCGTTTTCTGGTTCTGACTGGATATTTTGGGGTTCCTAGGCTGAGGAAGTTCTGCAGAATTACCTAACGTCCAAGCAATCTGTGAGTGATGCAATTCTTCAGACAGACCAGGCTCTCACCGCCAAGGAAATAGAAAAGGAAGGTAAGACAAAAATGGAGGCAACACAAGACTAGAAATTTCCAAATTTAAAAATAAATGTGACCAGGCCCATCCAAGACCATTAATCTAGAACAAAAATTGCAAATGTGTCCTATGTGAGTATGCCACTATCAGCTACAATTTGGTTATCTGGAAAGGGAAAACAAAGCAAGGAAATTCATTGATGGAGTTGCAACAACAAGAAATAAGAGTGGGAGGCAGAAGGAAAGGGCACAGTAATCAGAATGAGGTCTTGTTATTTTCTTCCTTTTCCACAGAGGCTCAGCGGAGAGCAGAGGCTCAAAGGGCCGAAGCTGAAAGACTGGCGGCCATTGCCAGGGAGAATCAGCGAATCATGGAGGAGAAGGAGAGGCTCCATCAGCAGCAAGTGAGACAGATGGAGATAGAAAGAGCAAACTTTCTGGCACAGCAGCAAAGGGAACTGGAACGTCGGCTCCGGGTAGTTATCAATTGTTTCACCTCAGGGTTGTACCCATCTCTCCTCTCTCTGTAAGCAGGAGAGCAGGAGCCATTGGCAAAGAGGAGAGGTGCATAACTTGTGGCTCAAGCCAAACACTCTGGAACATGACTGTTGTGCAAAACTGGGCACCACTTTCTGCCAAAAACATGGTTTAGGCAAGTTCTCTCTTCCCTCTCTGCCTCCTTTTCTTCCCATGTAAAATAGAGGCAATGGTTGTACATATTTTGTAAGGTTATTGTGATAATTGAATGCACTAATACTTATGTCCAAAATGGTATTTGGTGTAGAATAAGCACTATAAATTGTTAAATAAAAACTAAGGCATGGCAGGACCATGATAGTCTTTACTTTAACACGTTAATTGCTCTGAATAATCTTTTGCCTCAATCATAGACACTTTCTACATCAGTTTCCAGGGCTGTATCTTTGCTCCTGCCCTTCCCTTGATCATCTTGTTCTGATAAACTTTAACTTGCATTTTGTTACACCCAGTCCTTTAGTTTTAACATTGCTTTAGCAGCAGCAGCTCTTGGATTTTTGGGGGGGTGTTTACTGGGGATTGAACTCAGGACCTTGTACTTGCAAGGCAGACGGTGGAACCACTGAGCTAAATCCCGGGCCTTACAGCAGCAGCTTTTATTCACCAAGCACTGTACAAAGTCCTATGCATGCACTCCCTCATGTAAACTATTTGCTGGGGAGCAGAACCACTGTGCCCCCAGTTTTCAGAAGAGTCAAATTAGGTCCCAAAGGTGGACTAAAAGCCAATATTACACAACCCTTAAGTTGTCAAAACTGCCTTTCCAGTGAGTAAGGTCCAGAACATTGCTACCCTTGCAAAGCTGGTGTGAAATTCCTCTGTGAGCAGGCTCCTGAGGTAATCAACACCTTAACTCTTCCCCCCATTTCCCAGCCTACTTGCAGGTATTGGTTGCTCAGCAGCTACTCCAAAACATTCTTGAGATTGTAGCTCTTTCCTGAAGGGCAGGATGAGCAGGCAATGTGGTTTTTGATGTCCACTTCTGTCTCCAAAAGTGTGGTGACCTGGGACATGTCTTCATATAAGGCTTAGATTCCTCACTTGACTCTCATTGTCATCTCGACAATCTATTTTAGTATCAGCTTCTTCACCTAGAAACATATCTAACATCTTGCTGTGGGAAAATGAGAATTGAGGTCAAGCTATGTCAAAGATAATTCAAAGAAATTGTGTATGTAAAGGTAAAAGGAGCACTGGAAAAGAATTCTGGCCACACCAACCTTTCAGGGAAAGGAACATGAGTTTCAGGAGCTAGAGAAAGAGGAGGGTGAATAATTACAGTAGGAAGCTGGATGTACATGAATGGAAGAGAGATTTTCAGAGACTGTCTATTGTCACTGTGGACTAAAACAAGGACAAATAAATGACTAGGGCAATTAAAAAGAAGCTTAGTCATACTATTTGTTAAGCTCTGTAATTTCTATTCACCACTTCTAGGAGGAAGCTGAAAGGCAAAGAGCACTGGCTGAAGCTGAACTCAGAAGACAGCAAGAGGAGTTAGAACGTTTGAGATCTTATAGACCACCATCTGATGACTGTATCTTGCTCTGAAGTGCTAAATATTGGAGGTTCCCTTTTTTTTTCTCCTTTTTTTACTGCAGACACAAAGGAACAAGAAACATAAAACTTGGGACAATCATCATCTAAGTAATTCCAATGCCTCCTGTCTAACTTTCTGTATTTGGTTTAGGGTATTAAAAGTTAACTGGGGGCTGGATTAAATGGAATGCTACCAAGATCTTGGGCTCCACTGGTCATCACTCCTGCTGGTGCACATGTGCTGAATGCTGTCAGAGGAGGTATCTGTGCTAAAGTAGAAACAATATACAACTCTCACCTTGATAAAGGCCACTCTTCTATGGCTGTGGCACAGCTGGTCAGTAGTGTCAGTAGACCATCTGCATAGAGAAATTCTAAATGGAAAGCAAATCATATTATTATGAAATTAAGATATTTTAGAAGATAAGACGCCAGAATGGAAATTAGGTCCTAGAGCTGAAGGGCTATTAAAAAAAATAAAATAATGCTTTCCTTTATGTTTAACCTCAATAAAAATATAACTTAATAGTACATTTTCTAATAGAAAATAAATTTTTTTAGACTTAACAATTGTTTATTATATACTTATACTTTTATAAAGCTTGAAAATAAGTGATGCAAAAATGTGATGGAACTCATTTAATTTTATGCTTACATTAGTGCTACATCACCATGTGTGAAAGCATGCTGCTTTTTAAAAATTGTATATTTTATAAATATATCTGTTAGTACATATTTTAAGTACTAAAATATTTTTTAAACCATAACTCTGTTGCTTTGTTTTTATTCTCCTCAGTAGTTAAAAGTGTATAATGAAGACTGAATTTCCCAAAGGAGATTAAGAAATACTTTAAGATGGGAATGAAAACACTCTTTTTGGTTGTTTTCTGTTTGTTTTGTTTAACTACAATAAAATACGTTTTGAAAATTATAGGAACAGGGCCGGGGATTTAGCTCAGTGGTTCTGCTGCCTGCCTTGCAAGCACAAGGACCCGAGTTCGATCCCTGGTACCAAAAAAAAAAAAAAAAATTATAGGAACATTAAAAAACCCTCTATTTTGTCTCCCTTAAATTCATTATTAATTTAAAGAATTTCTCATTTGAACGATATGATAGAAAGTTGAATTTTTTTCTGTTGCTCTATGTATAAGAAAAGTAGATTAATGTTAATGTCTGTACTTTTTTTTTATTCTTAGAAGAATAGAAAACTGAACTACTCATATCATATATGGTTGGGTATGGTTGGGTATGCTATATTTCTGGACTTGACATTAGCTTCAGAAAGTACCAGCATATTGACTCAACATTTGGGAGGCAATATTCTATAATTACTTCTATAAGCTATACAAATCATAAAGGTGTGTATAATTCATTTTAAGATCCAAGGAAATATCATAGTAAAAAAGAACAACTGTTCTCTATCAGTGACACCCATCTTTACCCATATTTAAGACCCTCAGACTCAACATAACTAATTCACTTATTCAGCATTCCATGGCCTGGTACCATCAGCCCACACTATATTACAAGAACCCGATATCTTTTTCAATGCTTTTTCTCTTGTATGTTGCCCACCAAAATTAAGGGATTTTTCTTCTTTACAAATTTTCAGAGAAGGATGTTGTTGAAATAAATTCTTCTCTACAGCCTCTGATGGAACTTAGCCCTCCCAACACTTTGCTTTTAGTCTCATAGACTTCTACTTTCCAGAACAGTACAGTAATAAGCTGCTGTTGTTTTGAGTCTCCAAGTTGGTGGTAACTTGTTATACAGCTGCAACAGGAAACATAACTTCTTTATTAGTTAACACTGTAAGAAATTATTAATGCCATCTAATATGGATTCAGGATTGTGTGCCAGTAGTGGTTACTATAACAACTCATCCATTACTCACCAAAATCCTATGAACATTTAGTAGAGTTTTATTGCATTTATTTTTTTGAAGAATTATTAATATGCATTACTGTTATTCTTTGTTCTTTAAAACTATGGAATATGACAGATTTAGAAGAATGTAGAAAACATGAAATGTACAATACTTAACATAAATTATAAAATGAACACATAAATCACTCCCTAGTAACATAAATTAAGCATTCTTCAAACCCTAAAGACACATATTATGACTTCTAGAAAAGCTTCTAGAGCAAACCACAACTTTCCCAATTCTTTATAGACTTCATCATATGAATGTGAGATCCAAAATGATGAAATTGACTTTGGCCTGCTTTCCATATGAATGGAACGACAGTGTATGTATTCCTTTTTATCTTGCTTCCTTTGTTAATAAGATATTTATAAGATTTGTGTATAGTTGAAAGATGTATATATTATATTTGTTCATATTAGCATTGATAAATCAAGGGGTGATCATAGAATAGTGGTGCACACTTATGATCCCAGCACTCAGGAGGCTGAGGCAGTAGTTTGTCACTAGTTCTAGGCCACCCAAGGCTACAATAATGAGTTCATATACAGCCTGGAATACATAGTGACATTTTATCTCCAAAATATTCCAACAAAACAAAAGACAATGGAAGTTTACATTTTACAAAATTTACTACAGTCAAAGACATATTGTCATTAATCTCCCTTAAAATACTGCCTCTCACTTCAAATACATGTATTCCAACTCTTCTTTGCAACTTTCTGAAGCAATTCTGGAGGTCCTCTTTTGTGAGGGCCTTTATAGGTGTGATAAAAAAATACAGTGACTACTGCTGCCAAGTGCAAGAACAAGGGGGCTTGTAAAAATATTACAGTGTGTCCTCATCCATTACATTCACCAGATCTGGCACCGTGTGACTTCTGGCTCTTCCCCAAAGTAAAAATGACCACAAAGGGTGAACATTTTGAATTGATTCAGGAAAACAAGGCAGATACACAATACCACAACTAAATGCACTCTCAAAACAGAACTTCCAGAGCTGCTTCAGGAAATGCCAAGAACAATGGGAGAAGCATATTCAGAATGAGGGGGAGAATTTTGAGCTAGATTAATGGCAATGTCTTTCACTGTAATAATTTTAAAAATATTTATATGCTCATGATACTTTTCTAACAATTTTTGCATTTGGATTTTCACAATTATCTTTTAATTGTTAGTAAGGACAATTTTTACCACGTAGACTTGCACAGGTACATAAAAAATTTCCTTGTATAATACTCCAAGAAGTGAAATTCTTAGATCAGCAAGGATACATATTTACTTTAGTCTTTCCATATCAAGTTTGTTATGATTCAAATTCTCTGTGGCACTTTACATGCTTACCAGAACATTATTATCAATCTACCCATCACTTTTTTTGAATGGCAGCTACATGATGATATCTTGTTTAGACATTAATTTGCACTTTTCTCCTACAAATCTGGTGAAGCACCTCTTCATGTTTACTGGCTCTTTTCATTTTTTTCCTTGAAGTTTATTGGTACATTTTAGGCATACAATACAGTTACATTCATCAATGGGAACCTGTACCCTTACATGATGTAAAGGCCTATTTTTGTCTCTTCTATTGTGCTGTTTTCATTTTTCTAGATTTTTAGAAGTTCCTTCAGCATCTTGGAAATGAGTTTTTCAGGGTCAGATGGTTTGTCAATGTCATTTCTCATTCTGTGACATCCTTTAACTCTTTCTACAGAATTTTCATGAAAAGTTCATAATCTTAATGTACTCAACAATATTTTACTTTATCCCTAGGGGCATATGTGGTGGGTGTGTGCGTGTGTATGTTGGTGCACACATGTGTACACGCTCCCTATCTTCCCTCAAAATATTTCCTCTCACTTCAAACACATGTATTCCAATTGTTCTTTGCAACTTTCTGAAGCAATTCTGGAAGTCCTGTTTTGTGAGGGCCTTTACAGGTGTGACCAAAAATACAGTGAATTCTGCTGCCAAGTGCAAGCACAATGGGGCTCATAAAAACATTACAGTATGTCCTCATGCATCACATTCACCACATCTGGCACCATGTGACTTCTGGCTATTCACTGTGTGAATTCTTTCAGCTACAGAAGGTCATGGTGTTACTTATCTCTTTATGTTCTACACTATGTATCATTATACCTTCCCAACTTAGCTTTACAATTTAGTAAGAGTTGAAAATCTATGTTATGTGAAGTATGTGTTCAAAATAGTTTTCTGGAAAAAGGGAACTCATTTTTCCCAACACAGCTTAATAACAAGTTAGTCTTTTTCCTAACCTTTGGAAAGAACTCCTCCGATGGAAATATGAAGCTATGCTCATGTCTGTTCTGAGTTTCTCTTACTTGTTACTTTTGGCTTTTTTCTCCATCTATAGGTGCAAACATAACAATGTATTACTTGCTATATTTTAATTTGTTTCTATTTATGCTCTACTCAATCTTCTTACAAAGTTTTTCAAAGTACTCAAACATTTGAAATCCCACGTAAATTTCAAAGTATTTTATATCCCTAACAATGATTTAGGCTGTTGCTGGGATTACATTAATAAATTCATTAATTTTTTCTATCAGCTGTATTTTTTTAAAAAAAATGTGTATTTACATTCAATTTGAAACACTTTTACTATCTAGAGAATTTTGAGTTCTCATTTCCTATTCAATATTCTAGAGATGTTTTTCTATTTTTTTAATTTATACACTTCCCTAAAAGAAAGTGCTCAGTCTTACTTGTGCTTTTTTATATATAGTATTTGTATTTCTCTAGTTGCTATCAAAATGTTTTCTTTATATTTAAGATTTATCATGTTGCCTATGATGGACATGTGTAACTTTATCTTTGTATTTATTCTTCTTGGGGCTCTCTGAACTTCTGGATCTGTGGTTTGCCATCTTAGAAATAGGGGGAAACTCTCAGCCATGATCGCTTTCCTTTCTATTTCTTCTTTTGGAGTCCCAATTACATTTAGAGTAAATCTTTTCACACTGCTTTGCACAATGTCCTGAGGTACTGAGTGCTCAGCTATCATTTATATCATTTTTTGAATGTCTTTGTGATGTCATTTGGTAAGTTTGTATTGAATGATTGCAAAGTCTCTTATTCTTTATTCTGCTTTGTTTCTGTTCAAACTTTCGTTAAGACCATTAAAGGAATGTTTTGTCATTAATATTGTGCTCTTCATTTACATAATTTGTCTGACTTTGTTAAGAGTTCCTATTTATCTGCAGAAAATCCACATCTGTTCGGGTATGCTGATCATTTTTCCACTAGAT